TGGAAAAAAAAAAAAAAAAAAAAAACCTTACCCAAAAAAAAAAGAAAAAATTTGTGAGCCAATCTTTTTATCAATCATAATTAGAGCCAAATTAAAGGTTTGATAACTCAGAAATTAAAATTTTATTGTTTGATTAGTTGCAATATGAAAAAATATTCTGGACCCCAAATTGCTATTTTTTTGTTCTTAAAAAGACTAACTTTTTGGAATAGATAATTGGAGTTTTAGCTATTTTTATTTTTTACATGTGAAGTTGATTATTTACTAAACACTTTACATAGTTAGCTAAACCCGTTCAAATCTAATAATTCAATCAATTATTCGCTATCAGCTAATGAAGTACTTATAATCTATTCAAACAACAACAGTACGTAAACAAATTCATTATTTATAAAGAAAAAGGGGATTTTTTTTCTGCGTAAAGGAAAATACTAGTTATAAAGCAGGTATTGACAAGCTTGTTTGAAAATACTTCTCAAATGAAATTTTGGATGTTAAAGTCAATTTGAATAAATATTTATATTTCATGCTAAATTAAAATGGGCTTATGAATAAATTATTTCTCTATAAAGTCCAATGTATAGAAATAAATGATGAGAACTTTTGAATAAGTCCAATTTTCATAAGCATATTTAAGAAATGTATTTAATCAAAAGTGCTCCCAAATAAAAAAAAAAAAAAAAAAAATGTGTAATTATCCCACCTGAAAAAAAATGAGATTTTGAAGCAAATTAACTGCTTGTTTTGTTGGTTGCATACTACCTTTACTGGTATGTTTGTAATCAGTGAAAAGCAAGCTATTTTTGTATACTATACCTTTTCAAGAAAATTGTGATGGCCATAATATACATATTGGGTTGTGAGGAGAATCTACAGTCTCGTTACGGAACTACTCCGTCGTGATTTGTAATCGTTAGATCAACTATTCATGACAGTTACATGATGATCTAACAGTTACAAATTCCAACCGAATAATTTCGTAACGAGAACGGTAGCATTTTTCTTAGTTGTGATCTTTGGAATATTGCTTTTACTTTTTTCATTTACCTCATTTCTTCTTTTGTTTTTAGATTTTAACTCAAAGTAAAAAAATATGCTTTAGCGTCCTTTGAATAAATCATCATATTGATCCACTTACTTTATATTGAATTTGGTTTAGATTTTGTGGGAATTATATTTCCACAAGGTTGGAAAATTAATTTAATTGAGATTACTAAAGACTTTTTAAGAGTTTAGAAATTATGGTGTATTCAATTTAGATTTGACGAGACTTTTAAAAATCCTGGGTACTCAATTAAGATTTTAAAAAGTCTTACAAAATCCTAAGGTATTTAATTTATTTGACACTAGAATTTATTAAGACTTTTTAAAATTTGGTGGGATTTCTAAACAAAAAAAAAAAACCTTATACGAAATCTCACTTCAAATTCTACCTCCAAATTTAATAAGATTTCACATATTTCCTCCAAAATTTAAAATTTTAAAAAGTCTCAAATCTTAAAAAATCGTAAAATATCACTTACAATCCCAATTGAAAAAATAGAAAGTTAGGTGGTCAGTCAAGTAGTATAGCATATGAATGATGCAAAAAAATCAAGAAAAGAAAATAAAAAATTAATGCGCTAGTTGATCTTAGACTTCCTTTTCATTTTACATTGACCCACCAATTAATCTTCTGTAGTTAATGTAACTAATCTTCTGCAATTAATTAATTTTATTTATATCTATTAATACTAAATGGAAAATTAATAAAATTATATATCAATTAAAAAAATTATATACAAATTAAGTCATCGCATACGAGTTAAAAAAATTATTATAAATATAAAATGAATAAATTGTACAAGTTAAAAATGTCATTAAATATAAATAATAATGTAATATTTATTTAAAGTATATCAAATTTATATAAAAAATTATCCTCTTCATTTTTTATTTTTCAAATTTAAGTATAAATGTTTTCAGTTTTATATAAAAAATTATCCTCTTCGTGTATTATTCATGAATTAAACATTGACTGAACAGGAAGAAAAAAGTCGGATAGATTATATTAAAACAACTTAAATCAATCAACTGACCGGATCTGCTCCCCTACCCACGGTGGGTAGAGACACTGCTTATGTGGTATGTACACATTGGGCATATTAATTCTCTCTCACTGCTTATGCCCAATGTGTACATGCCACATAAGCTGTGGACATTTTAATTCCCTGTCCACTGTGGGTAGGAGAACAAATCCCATCAACTGATTGCAGAAGATAAGATACCGATTCATGTTTCAATTTATGTGGCCAACAAAAGTTTGGAAAAAATAAAATTGTAAAATTAAAAAGATCTCTCCTAAAAGTGGGTTTTTATAACTAAGAATTCGAGAAGCTGTTATACCTCCTTTGCGGAACAGCATATGACCCTGTTGTCCGAGACTTCTCTTCTGAAAATGAGACTTCTCTTCTGAAAATTATAGGAAAAATTCACGAGCCTCGGTGGTTGAGGACCAAATCGGAGGGAAGAGATGCGGAATCCGGGATGTGTCTGGCTCGACTCGCCGGGCCCGGGCTGGCCCCGAACAGCCTCTGGTTCGTCCCAGCAGCACTCGGTAGGTCCGGACAGCTCCGAGAAGGTCCCGGCAGCTCCCGATAGGTCCCGGAC